GAGCCCGACTTGGGGATCGATCTCACGACCCTGAGATCATGACCTGAGCTGCAATCAAGAGTCGGACACTCAACCGACTGAGCCACCCAGGGGTCCCTAAACTCTCCTTTTTAACTCATCTTTCTCTATCTTTATCATATGCAGCTAAAATAATCCAACTGGATTTTTGACATTCTGCTTAAAAATCTCCTCAGTCCAAACCATTAGGGCATTAGGTACCTTCTCTGTTGTCTACATCACTTCAAGTGACAATGTTGCTAAATTTCCCTCCACTGCATCATAAGGGTCCCCTTGGCTCCTGCTTCCAACAACATCTTCCTCACCAGCAGCCTCTTTGGGGGCCATCAGGCTTCCCCTTCCAATGTCTTCAAAACGCTTACAGTTTCTGCCCACCTCCCAGTCCTAAGCCAGAGATTTAGGTTCCCTTATGGCAGCTGTCTACCTCCACGTCATGAAAAGCCTGGATCTGCTCTCTACTGCCTTATAACAAACCATCCCAAAACAATGACCCCAAACTAATAACAAGCATTTATTTTGCTCATGAATTTGGGGGTTGACTGAAAATAAGCCAGGCAGCTCTCGCTCAGGACCTCTCCATGAGTTTTCAGGCACTTCTGGGGCTCCTTGAGCATCTCTCTGTGTGCATGAAGTCTTTCCACGAGCAACCTCAGGATGGCTGGATTTCGCTTATGGTCCCTGAAGGCTCCCAGCATGAGTGTCCCAAAAGGAGCCATCAGAAGCTGCATGCTCTTTTCTTACCTAGCCCTGGAAATTACACATGTCACTTTTGCTGCAGTCTGTTTGTCGAGGTACTCCCAAATCTCTACCTAGGTTCAAGGGGCAGGGACACAGACTCCAGTGATGGGAGCAAGGGGAGGAGAATCAAAGGATTGTGGACATGTTTTGAAACCATCATCAAAAGGTTGAGTAACATGTCTAAGTTCACACAGCTGGAAAGTGAAAGAGTTGAGGTTTGAACCCAGGCATTCTGATTCCAGACTCACATCCTTAACTAGTCTACACCGCCTGCAGTACTGGTAGACATGGCAGCTGATGGTGCAGGTTCCAGGAGTGGGTAGGTGCTCTGTCCTGGGAAAGCTCCTGAGTTGCTTCTCTATACTCAGCTTGCTCTCAGAAGGGGAGTGGGACTCATATTAGACACAGGGGCTGCCGGATGTAAAATGAATGAACGAATCAGAGCTGGAGCAGCCTCTTTTCAAGGCATTTTCTCCTCCCTGTGATGGCTGCCTTCCCCGTGGCCACCAGTGCCTTGGTGTGGTTCCCATGTCACTCTCACCACAGCTCTAGACACCTCCTTGTCTACTCACTCTTATGCACTTGATCTTGCTAAGTGTGTTCCCATGGGGGAAAGAGGAGTGCCCCTTGACATTTCAAGAATGTCTGCCCGGCTGTTTGGTGGAAAGCCTGCAGATCACTCATCAAAGAAGATGAGGCTTCTGTTGACTTTACCAGCCCACAGAGTTTTCTTAAGTTTCCTTTAAGGCTTGACTTTCTACAGATTTCAACAGACAAAGATTAAAAATTATATTTTTGGTCATGAGCATTAAAGTCCTAAATAGGGCTTGCATGATCAACCCACATTTCCAATAAATCTTATCTGAAGTAATGCTTTATATTCTGAATGACACCTTGGTGCAGAGGACAAATCAGCCAGGATACAAATGGTGGGCAGGTAGGGCTGCCATGAATGGTAATGTAGTCTGTGCACTGCACCAAGGGGCCTTGTTACCCAGCCCCACATTCCACTGGCCAAACATTTCACCCTGGTGAGGGACTGTATCTGCCTGGAGGAAACAACAGCTTTTTCTAATTTGTCTGTCCAGAGGGGCACCTTTTTCTAACGTAACAAAGATACCATATGCATTAGAAGCAGAACTAGGGGACAGCTGGAAGATATAATAAAATATTATATTAACCTACTCCATAGGACAAGTAATAGAAATCAACCCTGGCAAATAATAATAATAAATTTATTAAATTTCAAGAAAGGATTGAACAACTTAGCCTCAGGAAAGGCCAGAGGCAGGACAGTTCCAAGGACCTAAGCATCTGGAGTCAATGAACCACCTCCTTAGAACACTTCCACTAAAGCAGCCCCATCCCCACAGTGGCCAGTCTCTACCTCTTGGTTCAAAATCCCAGAATCTTGACAGAAAGAATCTGATTGATCCAGCTGGATTTAGCTGTTCCCTCCATACCCATCAGCTGTGGCCAGGGGTGGGAAGAATCATTGAGTATAGTCTATACCATAGACTGAGTTGCTGAGCTCCTCACTGTATTAGGGGGTTCCCAGAGCCCAGGCTCTTAACTTTGAGCCAGGCAGCCCTCCCAGAGTCACTTGTAGAAGTTCTGTACAATGACTAGCTAGGATTTGCCATCCCCAAGGCAGTCAATGGCTGATCAATCCAACCATTCAGAAAAAAAATTCCTGTGGCCATTCACTCCCTACATAGCAGGCAATGACCTTCTCCATTCACTAAAGATCTTATTTATGAGTGCTTTTAGCTTCTCAAGTCAGTTCTTCATGTTCTTCTCCTTATTGGGACTTGGGTCACTGGCAGACCAGAGCAGCTATTCAGCATTATAAAACTATTCAGAGGCCAGTCTAGGCAAAAGTCACAAAATTATCTTGCAGTGTCTTGCTCAACAACCTCTTAAAAATTTTTTTTTTACTTATCACACATTTAAAGATAATCGAATGGGGGTGCCTGGGTGGTTCAGTAAGCGTCTGACTCCTGATCTCAGCTCAGGTCTTGATCTCAGGGTTGTGAGTTCAAGCCCCGTGTTGGGCCCCATGTTGGGCATGGAGCCTACATACATACATACATACATACATGAAATCAAATGGAGTGGTACTGGCTGGCTCAGTCATTAGAGCATGGGACTCTTGATCTCGGGGTCATGAGTTCAAGCCCCACCTTGAGCGCAGCGCTGACTTAAAATAATAACAAGAAGAAGAAGAATTGAACAGAAACCCACGTAGCCACTCCCCAGTTTCAACAGATGTAAATGGTTTGCTCTTTTGCTTCAGATTTCCTTATCTTTTTTAAAGAAATAACACATTACAGCTACAACTAAATCCTTGCCTATATTCCTGCTCCCTCCTGCCCGGGCAGATATGAGTGCCATCCTAAAGTTGGGTTATCATTTCCAATAGTGATTTTGGCTTTGACCTTTCTTTCTGTCTGGACCTCAGGTGCACAAGTTGAGAGATCATTCTCTCAACGGCATACTCTCATCACTGTTCCTTCTGCACAAAGGCCCTCTCTTGTTTTATTTTATCCCTCTGATCCTTGCTCACTACCCCAGTGCACCCCACCCCTTAAGGCAACCACAGTAATGTGTTTGTACGAGTTCCTCTAAAGCATACATTGCCGTTCTGTGTACATGTATTTTTAGTTTAGGGTTGTTGTTGTTGTTGTTGTTTTAACTTTGAGGCACTTTATTATAAAAGGCTGGTACTCATACCCATAAAATGAATAAGAACTTAAAAGTCATCATACATTTACTTCATTTTTTAGCTTGACCTTCTAGTAGATCTGTAGCTTTATTGATTGGGGCTGGTATCTAAAGAGATCCTCCCTTGTCTGGGGGACTCATTTAAATTTAAAAGCATCATTTGTCAATGAGCATCACATTTTTCCTTTATTGCCAGTAGGGTTATGCTCAGTATTAATGCTGCTTATGCTTAGTACTAATGCTGCTTCCCGTTCTGCGATTCGGGGTTCAAACCCACCTCTGTAATAGCCACCGCTGATGGCAGATTTTGGTAGATTTTGAGAGGTGTGTTTTGCTTGAGGCTCCACGTGCCCCATGGCTTGTGAAACAGAACAGCTTGCAAATCCTGCAGCTTCTACGGCTGGACTGGCCATGGCTCCAGCCTGGCTCCCCCACCTCTTCGGAGCCCAGAGGCCACAGTCACCCACCTCCACAGCTCTTCCGGCAAGTGACGCACACCCCCCCCCCAAAACAGGCACTGTGTATTTTCAGTTCACATAAATGACACGGTGCCGGAGATTTTATTCTGTTTTTGGCTTTCTCAGCCAGCACTACGCTTTTAAGGTCCAGGCATATCGTCGGGTGTTCATCTAGCTGCAGGGGCCATTCACCCCTTTTGACTTATCCCATTCCTCTGGTGAGGTGGAGGAGAGAGGAGCAAACTGAGGAAGTGCTTAGGACCGGGCTTGTCCTCAAGACGTTATCCCCGGAGAGAGAAGTGTCAATGCACGTGTGCACGCAGGTACACACACACACACACACCCCACTTCAGCGGGGGCCCCGGCGAGTGGAGGTGGGGGAAAGCCAGCCGAGAGTCCTAGCAAAGGAGGACTCATTTCAGAGCTCTGCCCTTACATCCAAGGCCTTGCCCCCTCCAGGAAGCCTGCCCTGACCACCCCATTCCATGCAGGTCTCTCCCCATTCTGAGAACTATGAATCTCATCTAATCATACACTAGTCTCTTCAAGTCTTTCTATTACTCTCTCCCTCATTAAGTTGACATCCTCTGGAAGGAAAGGACCGTCTCTCGTCTTTTTCGTCTCTCTTGCTCAAGGCCTGGTCCTGAAGAAAGGAGGGCAGGGAGTGGGAAGCAGAATAGCGATTTCCTTAATTCAGGTCCCGCTCCCTCTGTTTCAGGGACAGGTCATCTTTGAGCAAACGCTTCGGTGCCAGGCTCTTAGAAGTCCAGAGAGAAAATACATGCTGTTCCAGCTCTTAGGAAGCTATTTATAGGGGATGCAGACACCCAGACATGGAGTCATAGGATGGTGCGGAGAAGACAAAGACAAGCAGACACTTGGGGTGCCAAGGAGGAAATCCCAGCGCAGCTCAAGGGGAGGCCAGGGGGCTCCTAGATGAGGTGACATCCCAGCTGTCTCCCACGGAAAGAAAAGAGGTAAATTGAGAATCGGGAGCTGGGCGAGGGGATTATGAAATAAGATCGAGAGGGTACAAGGAATACCAGTACTGCCTGCTTCCAGTTATCGTACTTATACATCAAACAACCACTTTATTATGTTTGCAGAGTCTCCGGGTCAGGAATCCGGACAGGACACAGCAGGAAGAGCTTGTCTCTGCCCTAGGTCGTCTGGGGCCTCAGCTGGAAGCATCCATGGCAGGACTTTGGAATCAATGAAGGCTCATTCACTCACAAATCTGGTGGCTGGTGCTGACTGCAGGTTGGGTCCTCAGTGCCTCTCCATGTGGTTTTCCCACTGGTCTCTCCGGGCGGGCTGGTGTGGGCTTCTTATATAGCATGGTGGCTGGGTTCCTGGAGTGAGCATCCCCAAAAAGAGAGAGAGCCAGGTGGAAGTTATATGACTCAGCATCCCAAAGCATCCTTTCTACCATAGTCTATTGGCCAGAGCAGTCACAACCGCCTGGCCCAGATTCAATGAGAGGAAACAGACCCCCTCTCCCTGGCTCAGTGAGAGGAAAGTCAATCGTCCTGCAAGAAGAGCATGTGGGATGGGATATACATTTTGGTGCAGCTACCTTTGGAGAATACCATCACCATGGTACGTATTGATAAGGTGGAGGGTGAACAGTGGACAGGTAGGCATCCAATATCACTGAAGTATAATATGTGAGATGGAGGCAGCCAGATACAAGGCTACAAGGCTAGGTCAGGCCAGGTGCTGGAGGGTCTTAAAACCATGCTTAGGAGAATGCTTACAGACAAAGGAGCATTTTGAAAGCCCAGGACTCCTGCTCCCTCATTCCCATCACCCAGCACCTCCTCTTTGCTTGATCAGAAAATATCTAAGGCTCTCTATGGGTGACTAAAGCAAAGGGGGTCTCAGGATTGGTCTGCACCCTTGAAGTAAGTGTCAAGGACAGCTAGACACCAGCCCCTACCCCTGTGCCTGTGTGTACATGTGTCCACACCTACCTGGCCAAGCCCAGTCTCTTGGCTCCAGAGTCCTATGGATGCTGCTGCTTGGGTAGCAGAGACTCTTCAGAAATGCCCTTCTGGGGACACCTGGTGGGCTCAGTCAGAGGAGCATGGGATTCTTTTTTTTTTTTAATATTTTATTTATTTGAAGAGAGACAGCGAGAGAGGGAACACAAGCAGGGGGAGTGGGAGAGGGAGAAGCAGGCTTCCCGCTGAGCAGGGAGCTTGATGTGGGGCTCGATCCCAGGACCCTGAGATCATGACCTGAGCCGAAGGCAGATGCTTAAAGGCTGAGCCACCCAGGCGCCCTGAGCATGGACTCTTGATCTCGTGCTTGCGAGTTCGAGCCCCACATTGGGTGTAGAGATTACTAAAAAATAAATAAACCTGAGAAAGAAGAAAGAAAAAGAAGAAAGAGAAAGAAAGAAAGAAAGAAAGAAAGAAAGAAAGAAAGAAAGAAGAAAGAAAGAAAGCAAGAAAGAAAGAAAGAGAAAGAAAAAAGAAAGAAAGAAAGAAAGAAAGAAAGAAAGAAAGAAAGAAAGAAAGAAAGAAAGAAAGAAAAAGAGAAAAAGAGAAAAAGAAAAGAAAGAAAAGAAATCCCCTTCCAGGTCCATCCCTTTCCAGATCCATTCTGAATGGTCCTGGGCAGAGCAAGACCCACACTTCACACACACACACATGCAGAAACACATGTGCACAGGCCCACTAGGTGTAAGCCAATGGGACAGCATCATATCAAGGAGAAAGCGCTTGTTTGGTAGTCAGGAGTCCCATGTAATCATCCAGTCTCTGTCCAAGGAGCAATGGGCCTTGGGGGAGGTCATTTACCCTGCCGGAACTTGCAGGCAAGGGCTAGCATTGCACTTAGACAAGAGTTTTCCCCAAGTGTGGTCCCTGGAGATCGGCAATTAAAATCACCTGGCTTGAAAACTACCATGAGCTATCACCACACACTCACTAGAAGGGCCCAGATGAAAAAGATAGGCAACACCAAGTGCTGACTGGAAGGAGAGCAACTGGAGCTCTCAGACTTTGTTGGTGGGGGTGCAAAATTGTATACCCACTTTAGAAAGCCGTTTGGTAGTATCCACTAAAGCTAAATCCCTTCCCTATGACCCCAATTCCACTCCTAGAGATTTACCCCAAAGACAGAAAACATATGTCCACAAAAGGGACTTGACTGGTACAAAATGATCATAGCAGCTTTATTTATAACAACCCCAGACTGGAAGCAGTCCATCAACAGGTGAACAGATAAATACAAAGAAACCAAACTACTGATACAGGCAACATGGGGGGACGTCAAAAACATTTAGGCTGAGTGAGAAGTCAGAAACAAGAGTGAATGCCATATGACTCCACCTAGCACAGTCTCCAAACAGGTGGACCTTAACATGGAGATAAAAGTCAAAAGAGTGGGGGCGCCTGAGTGGCTCAGTCGTTAAGTCTGCCTTCAGCTCAGGTCATGATCCCAGGGTCCTAGGATCGAGCCCCGCATCAGGCTCCCTGCCCAGCGGGAAGCTGCCTCTCCCTCTCCCACTCCGCCTGCTTGTGTTCCCTCTCTCGCTGTCTCTCTCTGTCAAATAAATAAAATCTTTAAAAAAGAAAAGAGTCAGAAGAGTGGTCCCTTGGGGCCTGGGACTGGTGCGGGGGAGGTGGGGGAGGTGGGGGAGGTGGGGGAGGTGGGGGAGGTGGCCGGCAAGTGGATCCGTGGAAATTTCTCGAATGATAGAATTGCTATCTTCATAGGATGTGGGTTACACAGTATACGTTTGTCAAAACGCATGAACCCGCACACGTAAGATCTGGGCACTTCACGGTTCTACTTTAATTTTTTAAAAAACCAGATCATCTACACTGCGTGTTAAAATGCAGCCTGGGTACCCCAGACCGACTGAGTCAGGGAGTCCTCTGGAGCGGGGCCCGGGAATCTGCATTCTCCACAGCCTCCAGGTTTGGCGAGAGCGTTAGATTGGAGACCCATGTCTCCAGGGGCGACTTCCCCCCCACCCCAGGCGTCCCCAGACGCCCATGATCCCACCCAAGTCTCCCGCTCTCCCCAAGCCCCCAGCCCTCTGCCCAGTCGCCCCTGGTAACCAAGAAAGGGCTTGAAAACCCTCAAAGTGCAGCCGCCCGGGGAGGGCCGTCCACAGTGTCAGCGAAACAAGGGCAAATACAAAATGCGGGGTAATTGGCGGTTTTCTCATTCTCGGCCCTTTGTGCGGCGGCGCGGAGCCGGGGCCGCGCTCCCAAGCCCGGGCCTTTGAGCCGCCGGGGGCCGGGCCTCCGCGCTGCCCGCGCTCCGCAGCGCATAATTAATGGGGCTTCACAGGGCCCCGGACAAAGGCGCCCATTCACCCCGCCGCTCCCCCCCCCCACCCCGGGGATATTGTTATTTCTAGAAACTGCAGCCAGCTGGGCCGCAGAGAAACGTCAGCTCTGTGGGAGAGTGAGCGGCCAGGACGAGAGGAGAGAGGGAGCTCTGTCTCTGCGCCCCGAGCGAGCGAGCGGGATTAGAGGCGGCCAGCGAGCCTCGGGGTGGGCAGGGGGCCCGCGGTCTTTTCTGCAGTCTGCACAAGTCCTCAGAAAGCGTTGTGATTTCCATGGGGCCCTGGAGGAGAGTGCCATGGAAATGGTAATGGGCGCATTGAGGCTAGTTCTTAGGGAAGGAGAAAGGGGGTGCATTCAGGCCCCCCCTGAGCATGGCACATCTCCCTAGTGGGAGGGGTCGGTGGCTGGCGGGGTGGGGGGGGCGGGTGGGAAGCCAGGGTGCCCCCACCTGTACCAGGCCTACTGGGACAACAGGCAAAGTGAGTCAACGAATAAAGGCCTGGGTCTCCGTCTGCGGAGCCTGGGGTGAAGTCAGCGACTGGGGGGATGTGAAGACCCCATAGTCACCTGGCTTCTGCTCCAAGGACCACTGGGGAGCTTATTCCAAACAACACCTATGCAGAAGCAGGCTCTCAAAGTCTGGGGGGGCGGGGGGGGGGCTTCTTTTCCTAAGTCTCCCAGCCCCTCTGAAGCCCACCCACACTGGGTCCCCTCTCAGCATGCCCCAGCGAGAGGGTGCAAGGGCCCCATTTCCCACTGCAAAGAGGAGGAAACAGGCCCAAGGAGGCAAACTGGCTTGCCCGCGATGACAGAACAGAGCTGGGACTGGGCGTGCTGGTTGTGTGCAAAAGCGGAACAGAAGGGAGAGGCAGCTGGAAAGGGAGGCTTCCCCTCCTCCCCAGAGCGGTTCTTGACTGAGCAGGCCCGTTCTGTTCTCTCCCTTCCCCGGCCTCTCCTTGCGTGGGACTGATCTGCCTCATTAAATGCCTCTAGCATGTTCTGTTTCGTGGGTTCACTAGGGTTTCTCCGACCCGCTCCATCAGAGGCACGCTTGAGTGCAGGTCCAGAGATCACATTGATTTTGTGTCCAGGCCCAGGGCCGGTAGAGCTCCAGCCAAGGCTCACTGGATGTGAGCAGCTTCTCATGACTCCAGGGGCCAGTCCCTTAGGCTGTGTTCCCCTCCAAAGCTCAGTGCCCTCCTCAGGCCCCACAGAGGGCCTGGTCCCGGCTCAGCAGTGCTGAGCTTCACCTTTGCCACCAAACCCCAAGAAATGGGCCCCCCGTTCATTCCTCCTCCCGAAGCTAGGAACAGTCATGAAGAGCCACCGTGGATTTCCAAAACCTCAGCATCCTGAACAGCTCCCAGAACAAGCAGGGGCCTTTCCAGAGCCCTGCCCATCCTAGCCCATCTCATGGAGACGTTCTGTCCCTCAGCTGTACTCTGGAAAATGTTCCCTCAGCCTGAGACTGCCAGTCTTGAGCAGGGCCTCGGGCCTCAGAGCCAGACCAGGCCGTAGAGCCTCCTCCAGCGAATGAGGGAAAGGAAGCCTCCCTGGATTTGCAGAGGAGCCCAGGAGCGCACCCAAGGCCCCGAGAGGGTGCCCAGCCAAGCTCTCTCCGCTTCCACCAGGCTGTGCTGCACACTAGAAAGCCAGTGTCCTGCAACATTCATATCTGTGGGCGGGAGAATGTACAGAAAACTCAAAAACAAAGTGAAGGGGAAGAGAGCCGTTCAGCCAAGGCCTGGCCAGGCCTCTAAGGGGACAGATCAGCTGTCTGGTTGCAGCTCGACTCAGGGATGGCCACCAAAGCCACAGTAGAGCTTCCGTGGGGGACCCTGTGACCGAGGTGGCCCCCACCGGCCAGATGGCCAACAGGGCATCAAGCAGAAAAAGAGGCTAGCTGTCTGCCATTAAGTAAGCTTTATTTGGGGTATAGAGTGATCCGATGGGGTCTGGAAATAAGAGGAAGGCTCAGCCATAAGGGAACCACGTGACGTCAGTGTCCTTCAAATACACACTGAAGTATTTAAGGGCAAAGGAGCAAAAATGTCTCTAACTTGTTCTCAAATGATTCCACAAAATGTAAATAATTGGTGAATCTTAGAAAAGGCTTACAGAAATTACTTGTAATATTCTTATAATTTCTCTGAAGTTTGAGATTTAAAAACAAGCAACAGGAAGTGCATGCAGGCGTGTGCGTGTGCCCACACAGCACAGTGTCCACGTTCCAAATTCTACACCCAGGGCTGGGTGTCAAGTCTCCTGTGGGCCCCTCCTCCCACGCAGGTGCATTACAAGCAGCCTTTGCTAACTTCTGTTATAGCAGTTTGTGAATCCAAGTTGGTTTGAAAAGTCCTTAAGGGTAAGGCCTGTGCTGTTTATAATCCTACTGCAGCTAGCACCGTGCTTTGTGAACCGTAAGCATTCAACCAAACCTGGCGTCCGCCCATTTATCATGGAAGGCTTCTAGCTCGAGTGAAATGGGAGAAGGAGAAAGAGAGGGGCTGGCCAGTGGAAAGAAGGAACCAGGAAAGATGGTCGAGTCCATACAGACTTCCCAGGCTGGCACACTCGTGTGATTTTTTTTCAAGGTTAGCAGTCAGGCCGCCCTAATCAGGTTCTTCCATCCTTCCACAAAGCTTGGAAAGTGCCTCAGCCCCGGTGGGGCTCCTTGTAGGGTCCACTCAGAGCACTTACAGACCCACACGGCCTGAACCTGGCCATGTCCACTTCAACGTGTGGTTAGCAGAGCCAGGAATGTATCTGTGTAAATGGTGCCTGGTTCCCTGAGTGTTTCATGTAGGTGAATCTTGTCTCGTCTCTCCACTGAGATCGCAGGGGGAAGGGCCGGCCTCCTCCCCCTTACCCCCATGGGTACCCTCATGGGCTTAGCAGGAACACAGACCCACATGGGCCCATCTCAGGTGCCTGTGCCAGGGATCATGTCTGGTTTGCACTCTCCTACATCCCCAGCACTTAGCACAGCGGATGGCCCAAATTTGGTGCTCAGTAGACACCCATTAAACACTCACTAAACACAGAGTCTTGTTGAGCTGAGTCGAGTTGCCTGCTGTGCCAAGGGCATCCTGAGCAAGCTCTTTTGAGAGTTGTACTTCTGGCCTCGGAGGCTCACTGTCAGGGCAGCAGAGTTTCCCCGGGGGACCCTGTGACCTAGGCAGCCCCCAACGGCTCCCCTCTCTGCCCATCCTCAGAGCAGGTCCCTCTGGTTGCTGACTCTACCATGTCCCTGAGAAAGGCAGTGGCACCATCTCTGTGGCCCGTGTGACACGGTCAGTGTTAGGACAGTTAGTCTCTGCTGCTGAGTCCTCTCTCATGGTCCCGTTGGGTGGAGTCACTTGGGACAAGAAGCTTTGCTCAGCACATTTCCAAAGGGGGCACGACCTTCTGTAAGAGATCTTGGGACCAAAGTGGTAGCCCTCCCACCCCCTCCCCCTGACTCCATCCTCACATACACATATGGACAAGGCTCAGTACGGGGGCAGCAGAGTGTAGCTCCCGGTGCTCACCCAGAGAGTGAGGGGGAACAGCGGGCTTGGTGGGGGCAGAGAGAGTGTGACCAGAATGGTCGCAGGAGCTCCATTTTTCTCCCTGGTACCTGGGGCCAGGACACTTGTTACAGGGCAGTGGGACTGCTAGCAGGAACAGAAAACTGAGGCATGGGCATCTTCAATCGGGTCTGTGGAACCCTTCCAGAAGTCCAACCCCACGGCTAGGAGCCTTGTGCAGTATTGTTCCTGCTGCTACCCCGGGGCCTGAGCCCCAGGTCAGTCCAGGGAAGGGTTAGATACATTCCTGGCCTTAGGGACAGAATGGCTCAAGCTGCCCAGAGAGATCTCTGTGCACCGTGGGGGGAGTGGGGAGATCTTCCTTCAATATCCCCCACCGTGGGGCTGGGCCATCTTGACAAAGCTTCTCCTTCAGTCTCTGTACCTCTCACCATCTCCTTGCACCCCTTTAGAGGAAACCACTCGCTGGGCCTTTGGGGCAGGACTGGCCATGCTCCCAGCACACTCAGTGTTTGCTTCCAATCCAAGAAAGAGCCAGGCTGGGAACTCATTCTCCCCGCCCCCTCCTTTTCTTTTCTTTTCTTTTCCTGTCTCCTTCGCTTTACCCCGAACCCCCTCCAACCCCAAGAGCTTCCAAAGTGACAACATGTGGGCCCAAATCAAACCCTTGTCTTCAGGACCCTGCTGGCATCCCTCCCGGATCACCCACCTTCCTCCTCCTCGTGCTCTGCAACCCAGCCACCCTCCTCACCCCCACCCCCGCCATTCCTCTTTGTGGACAACCTTCTAAATGCAGCCAAACTTCCCCTTTCAGTCCACAGGCCCTGTAAAACAGCTGCAAGAAGTCAGCAGCTCTGCAAAAGTTCTCTTGCAGATCCAGACTGAGAGTAACACCCTTTGGCTCTAGCCATAGCTTCCCCCCTCCCAGGCTCTGGAAGGCCAGCCTCCTCCCCCAGTAAACAGTGGGGAGACCCCCTGGTACTTGCTCCCAGGGACACAATTTCCCCAACAGTCTAATCTAGAGAGGAGGAGACAGCCCAAAGCCTGGCCTGCAGGCCTGACCCTGCAGAGCCCTGTGGGACCCCGGGCTGTCTACTTACACACCGCCCACACACGGCCACACACACAGGCTTCAGGTCTCTAGAACGAAAGGATGGATTGGCCGGTTTTCCAGGACCCTTCAGAGTCTAAAATTCCACCGATCTGTCATCTCTCCTTGGGGTGCTCCTGCCCTAGAGAGAAGGGGCTTTGCCCAGGGACACACCGCTAGCCGAGGGCTGTCTGACCCGGACCCAGCTCCTCTAAACTGCATCCCCTGTTCTCTCTGTGACACTCGGCCCTCAGTAAAACAGTGGCTGGCTTTCACTCCTGGCCACTCTGATTCGTGTCAGAATCGTCTGGGGAGATTTTACATCCCATCAATCCCCAGGCCGCACTCCAAAACAACAAGATCAGAATCTCAGGTCGGGGCCTGGTTATGCGTCTGTTTGGAAAGTTACCCAGGTGATTCTGACTGAGCAGTCAGACTTTAGAACCCTTGCGGACAAGTCTTCTAGAAACTGAAGACGAAGCTCTCAGCCAGAAGTGCCTGCCGGCTCCCTCCCAGGCCTGCGAGGCCTCCCCACGCACTCCAGGGCACACGGCCCCAGGACCGCAGCCCAGAAACTGGAAACCAACCTCAGCCAGAGGCAGGAGGCCTGGGGGGCCGCTCCAGCCCTCTGAGGGCTTTGTGTGGATCGAGAAAAGAAAAACAGAGAAGGGAAACTGTAGCAGAGCCGAATGCAGTGAAGGAGAAAAAGACAAGAGAAAGGGGAAGAGCCCTGAGGTCAGAGAGTCATGTGAATGGCATTTTAGGGAACAAAGCCCCTCCATAGTGCCCCCTGTTCCTCCTTCATCAATCATCCGCTGGGCCTGGTAAGAAGCGCTCTTCCGCCAGCGCCCAGGGCACGGAGGGCATCACTGTCCATAGAGGCCCGGGACAGAAAGTGCACAGCCAGAAATCGGCCCGTTCCGAGTCTGTGAGCCCTGCACATCCTCTCCCCGGGCAGGGCTAGCAAAGAGCCCTCTCTGCGCCTCCTCCACTCACCAGAGCCAGGGGCTCCTGCCAGACGTTTAAGCAACATCACTTGGCCATTTCTAGATGAGAATAAAGGCCAAATCCAACTCCCAAGACACCCGGCATCCCATCAAAGTGATCCAGGTGGTGCTGCGTGACCTCCAGGGAGCCACCTCCCTCCCCTCGCTGGGATTTAGTGCCTGATCTTGTCTGCCTTCCTGCAGAGGCATATTTAGAAGGAAGGGTTATGGCTGGAGGCCAGGGGTCGAGAGCCTGGGCACTGGGGCCAGAGGCCTGGGCTAGTGTCCTGGCTCTGCCACACACTAGCATCATACACTCTGGGCCTGCGAGTCCTCACCTGCTCGGTGACGGCCGACAGAAAAGGAGAAGGCCGCACAAGCCCAAACCAACATGGCACTGATAATCTAGAATGCACGAGGACTGCCCTCCGCTAGTCGGAAGCAGATGGTAGCCCCAAGAGAAAAGCGGGCACGGAAGGTGAGCAGGCGGTGAACAGAGCTGCAAGAAGAAACACAAACTAGAGACCCGGTTCCAACGCCAGACAGGTTTCTGTTCAGGACTGATGTCAGTGAGGAACGGCGAAAGGGACAGCCGTTCCCAACCCGGGGACGGTGCCCCGAACCTCCACCAGGGGACAGTTGGCAATGTCTGGAGACCTTTTTGATTGTCACGGGGTGGGGGGTGCTCCTGGCATCCAGCGGGTAGAAGCCAAGGATGCTTCAAACTGCCCTACAAGGCACAGGACAGGCCCCACAGCAAAGAAGTGCCTGGCCCCCCAATATCAATAGTGCGGGAGCTGAGAAGCCTGCCCCAGGTAGACAGACAAACGGGTGGTGAGGGGGCCTGGCCAGGACAGCGTGGGAAATGTGCCACCAGCGGCTGTGGCACAGGACCCGGGAACATAAATCAGATAAATGGCGGTCACATTGGTTCCTAAATGTGTGGCTCAGAGCAGAGCATTCAGTTAGTGTTCACCTTCCTGCAGGGGTCCCAACGAAGTCCTCACCTCCTCTGTTTGCTCCTGCAGCTCAGCCACAATAGGGCTCGCAGAGGGATGGGAGGGACCGGAGGGACGGAGGGCAGTGGTCGCTGGAGGGGGCGAGGAAGGGAAAGGGAAAAGACGGTGGCAGGGCCTGGGGTGCGGGGTGGGGGCGGGGGGAAGGAGAGGAAGAGAAAGGAGACACTGCAAGTTTCGGTGTTTCACAACATCACAGAAATACCCAGAAAGCCAGAGCGGGCCGCAGGGAGAAGTTCAAATTAAGCAAGGGCTGCAGTTCTCTTCTTAAAGTCATGGAAAAATCTCTCTTCTAACCCTCTGGTTCAGGGAGGCCAGACCTCCCTCACCTCCACGGTGGCCTAGAAAGGGACACGTTCCCCCCCCTTCCCCCCGCCCCCGCCGCCAACCTTGTGCCATTCCCTCCCCTTTGTGTCCTCCCCCCTGGTGCTTCTCCCACCCACCCCGGCCAGCTCTCCATCCGTTGCTTTCCAGAATAGAAACTCCCACCCCAGTCCCACCGGAGCCCTGATGCAATTGACGAGATACATACAAAATAATAATCATAACTCCTAACAATCCTGTCTGTTAGAACTCAGCATCTGGAAAGAAGTCATCTCCGTTGGGTAACGGGTCAAGAGATCCGCAAGGGTTCTTCAAGCTGAGCCCCGAATCTGAGCTTCCTGGCAGCGCAAGTAAAATGAGAATGGGGGTCAGTTTCACGAGTCCCGTTGCCCAGAGGTCAGAAGCCCACTGATTCCTCTGAGGATGCGGCACTTTGCCAGGAACTGGAGCCTAAAATATATTTCCCTCTAGGTCTTACAGAGAGCACTGCCCGGGGCAGCAAGCACTAACAATAGCAGCATCCTGAAATAAATTTGACAGCCGGCCTCCTCCAGCCATTTTTCCTTAAAGCCCCATCATCAGGGAGGGACGGAATAAAGATTTCGTGGCGGCTAAATCATGTGGTCCAAGAGCAGCTCAGCTTCCTGAGAGTCCGACTCGCTTCAGGGATAAGTCTCATCTGGAAGAATGGATGGAATGCATGGCCTTTAAATAACCCCCATGAACTTTACGTCTCTCAACTGAGCTTTTGATAAAACTCGGGCAGCGGGAGGCAGTTGTTGGTTGTAACCGCTGACAAGGGTCTGGCAGGCAGTGCTCTGGCGTGGGGTGAGGGTGGGGCTGTGGGGTTCTGGCACCTGCAGAGGCATCATTCACAGGTTCGGCTATTCATAGACTCCCCCGAAGGCCCAGGACGTGCACGGCTCTCTCAGTTTGCTCTGGCCTGACGTGGAACTGGACCAAGAGGCTGGTGGAAAGAGGAGCAAGATTCGGAGCCAGCGGGGATGCTGGCCAGCCCTGAGCCCTGCCTCACTTTGAGTTATGATTATAGCTTGCATGTATCATGGGTCTAGGCATTAGGTCACTACCCCAGTTAATCTTCACAGCCGAGCTCCTGGGGAGATACCGTGATGGTGCTCATTTTACAGATGAATAAACTGAGGCTCAGAGGGCTTTGCTAGGAAGAGCAGAAGCTATGATGCCCACTCGAGTCTGTCTGGTCCCGGAGCTCACAGGTTTTGTAACCGCTACACCATGATCCCCTGCCACACAGGATGAGAGGTGAAACCTGTGGAAAAAGTGAAAGGGCAGTTAATTTGTGGCAGGAGAGCACAGGAAACACATGACTCCCAGAATGCAATTCTGGAGAAAGCCGGAAGCCTGCGGCAACACGCTGAATTTCAGGCCGTAGGGCTTCTCGAAGCCTGCTGGGTTATTAACATCAGTTATACCCAGATTCCTGTACAAGTTGGGGGGGCCAGGGGTGTTGCAGAGAAGGGCCCAGCTTAAACAAAGCCTGCGGGGCTGTGAGAAGAGAGCACCCCACGACCAAGCTCGAGGCACCCCCCCCCCAAAAGCTGCTGGATACCCCACCTGCAAGCCAGTGAGCGAGTGGTGCAGAGCCCAGCAGTATGGAAGCACAGGGCCAGGCTGCTTGGGGCCCGGGATCCCTGCTGGGCACAGCCCTCTGTGCATCCTGTCACTTCCTGGGAAACCAGCAGGAGGGAACATCCAGGACCAAATAGAACCTGTGAAGCTGTCTTCCCAGCCGGTAGCCCTATGAGCTCAGGAGGAAGGAAAGCCCCATCTCCTTCCATTCGATACACTGACCTTCTTTAGAAGGTCTCTTTAGACTGGAGTCAGGAGTGTCTAGACCACAGGAAAGCTTTCCACATCAGTGAGCAATATGCTGACAAGCAGGACTTCAGCTCAGCCCCATGAAATCTGATGACTCAGGAGGACGTGCAGTCTCTCCATAGACTCGTTTGCCAGGAGCTGCCAGGGGGCCGTCCCCGGGCCAGGTGTGAGGGTAAGGAGAGAGGCCAGGCCCAGGCCTTGCCCTCAAAGGGTTTACAGTCTAGAAGAGGGCACAGATGTAGAAACACCTCAGTGTGTCTTCATGAGAAAACTAAAAAAGGAAGGAAGTGAAGTAAGGAAGGATAAACACACAAAATAGATCAAGAATCTAACCACTTCTCCCCTTGCCCGCACTCCCTGTCACCACCACCATCTCGGGCCTAGATTATTGCAGCGGGGTCCTCAACACCGCAGGCCTCTTCCTACCACAGGGCTTTGGGACTTGCTGCTCCCGTTGCCCTCCTACAGGTGTCCTTATGATTCAGCATTTTTGTGTCTTTGCCCAAATGTCCCTTCTCAGGGAGGCTTCCCCCTCATCTAGGCCACCCAATTAAAGTTCACAACGCTCCTCTCTCTTCCAGCCCACAAATGTTGTGGTGCAAACGCCCTGTGCAGTCCAGGGGTTTTGTTCACTAACTCTTCACAGCCTGCTCTCCTGAGGCACTCGGGACAAGTTTCCCATTGGCCTTGGCTAGAGGCTGTTTCCATAGCCCTTGACCTTGCCAACGGTCAGCCAGTGCACTCGGATCAAGCCTGGCTCCTTCAACTTACTTACCCCCGGGGCCGGTCCCCTCCTGTCCTGTGGGGGGAAATTCCAGCAGAGCCTGGGTGCTCCCGACCAAGCTTAGCCCTGACCGACTATCACAGGCCTGAGTAGCTGGTCACCAAACTCATCTCCTCCTCTTCCTGGGCATCCAGCTGGACTACATTTCCACCTCCTTTGTCATCAAGGGTGGCCAATGAGTGTGAGCAGAAGCAATGTGTCTCTCTTCTGGGCTGAGGACAGTAAGAAGCAGATGTGCCTCACCCACCTCTTTCCCCTGCTGCCGTGACCACGTGGCCTAGGAGATGGCAGAGCCCTGGGATTAGAAGGAGGCTGGGTGCCCAGATTTCCCCTTGGACTGAGGCTGCCTGCCAATCAGAGCACCCATCTTGGACTTCATGTGAGTAAAAACTAAACCTTGTGAACATCCTGCGTGTTAGAAGTTGGCTCCTGTATGAATTTAGTGTTTAACTGCCTGTCTCTCTAGGGACTGGGGGCCTGCCCTCATGCCAGCGCTCCCTTGTCCCCACCCCCCATGGCATTTCCCACCTGAACTTAGTCCCAGGCCTCCAGTGATGACTGAGTGGCTGGGGAGTGAACGCCTTCTGCTCTGGGGATCTGCGCCCTCCTGGTAAAGGCAGGCTGGCAGAGGGAAGGCTCTTCCCATGACCTCTCTGTGAGCCTGGTTCCAACGGTGTGTGACTTTGGGTGAGACTCCAGCCTTACAGAGATTCAGCTTCCGCATCCTTAGAATGGGAACAATAGCATCTGGCCATGCCACCTCACAGAGGAAAAGGCGGGAAGCCCTGATCCGCAGGAGCAGCTACTCTGAGCTGGTTCTACATACATCACCTCACGTTTAGTACTGAAGCAGGGAAACTGAGGCATGCAGAGGTTTCAAAGTAACCTCCCCAAGTTCACCCGATTAGTTAGGTGGTTGCCCCCACTCCTGGCTTGGTCCTCCCCATCTTCTCTCCCTCGTGGGTAGCAACACTACCCACCGAGGAGCTCAATTCCGAGAACTCAGGTCCTGGCTGACTCTTCCCTCGCCCACATCTCCCAAAGCCCCGTTATTTTACCCCCTCTAGAGAGCTGCCCAGTCCAGCCCTTCCCTCCGTGTCTGTAGCCATCAGTCTGGTCCAAGACCTCTGCATGCCTCTCCTGGACTCCTGCGTTAACCCCCTCAGTGGTCTCCATGCAGCTCATCCTCCATGGGGCAGCCACCGGCATCTTCTTGAAATGCAAATCTGACCATGCCAAATCCCAGGTTAAGAGAACTCAGTGGCTGCCTACTGCTCTTATGACAAAGCCTTGCCATGGTCCAGCGAGCTTGAGAGATCCAGCCTCATCTTGAACACCGTCCCCCTGCCCATCTCCTCTCCATTCCAGTCAGGGCAGACTTGTCCTAGTTCCCGCAATGCTCACCAACTCCCTCCTTGGGGGGAGCCACCTTTGCACATGCTGTTCCTTCTGCATGCAACACCCTTCCTTCCCCACTTCACCTAGTTTACTCCTGATCACCCTTCATATCTCAGGTCTGGTGTCACTTCTTTGAAAACTTGTCCCTGACCTCCTTGACAAGATGACATCCCCCTATAGCCCTCAACAACGTTATTATTTTCTGTCCATTTGAGTCGTTATTTGGTGAACATGGGTCTCCCTTCCATGACTTATGCTCCATGAGGACAGGAACTGTCACCATTTTGCTCACCATTGAAACCGGTGCCTGCACCGTGCCTGACCCATAGTAGAACTTCAATATTGGCCCAGTGAGTCAATCCGTGAAAGCTGAACTTGAAATCCAAGTGTGCCTTGGATTGGTGTGCTCCTGGCTCACCGACGTTGTGAGGAATTGTATTCATTTGCTCAGACTGCCATAGCGAAAGACCGCAGACTGGGTGGCTTAGCCAACAGAAATGTATTTTGTCGTAGTTCTAGAGGCTGGAAGGCCCAAGTCAAGGTGCTGGAAGTTATGGTTTCTGGTGAGACCTATCTCCTTGGCTTGCAGACGCACCTTCTTGCTGGGCCCTCACGTGGCCTTGTCTGTGTACACCCAAGGATAGAGGAAGAACTCTGTTGCCTTTTCTTATAAAGACACCAGTACTGTTAGAGAAGGCCCACCCTTGTGACCCCGTTTAACCCTTATTACCTCCTTCAAGGCCCCATCTCAGATACAGTC